ATTTAAATGTCCAAATATAAAAATAATAATATTCATAACTTGGAAAGTTATTGAACTTTTAAAAAAAAAACATTTTTTGAGAATATTTATATATTAAATAAAAATATAATTGAACATTTTAAGCATTTATTTAACATTTCCCATGAAAATACACTTTGATTATTTTTAAAAATTAATTTTAAAAAGTATGTTTTTAGTGCAAAATTTAAATGATTAATTTATCAATTTTTTCCCCTTTCTCCCCTTTATTTTTCCAATTATTTTTTAATTATTTCTCCTTTTCTTCTTCGAAACAATTAAAAATCAAAAATTTAAAATTTCCAACAATTTTTTTATTTTTAATTTTAAATTTTTCTTTTTATTGTTATGCTGATGATTTAACTAGTAACAATACTTTAACAAATCAAACAGTAAGTAGAAAATATTTTTGACAAAAAATATTTAATTTTTTAACCAAAAAGGATGCCGGTAATGGGACAACAATACCTAGCATTCAAACAACAACAATTAATTTATTTATTTATTTATTTATTTATTCAAGAATAAAAATGACAATGAAAGGGATGGACACTTACATCATTGTCTTAAATAAAATATATGATATTTGGTCAATAATAATAAATTAACTGAATAGTCAACAAAAATAATCATAAGGAAGGGATATTGATACACAGATACACAACTAAGTTAATTGTAAAATTGCACTGGTGAGAAGTGAACTGCGTTACGTTTAACACCAGGCATGCAAGTCTGAAAAAACAGCAAAATAAATTATAGTAAATTTAATTTTAAGATTAATTAGCCTAGATGTATGTCTGTGTATTAATTTAAATAAAAGCAAATAATAAAAAAAATAAACCTGAAAAAACAGCAAAATAAATTATAGTAAATTTAATTTTAAGATTATTTTAGTCTAAAAAAAAAATAAAAAATTTAAATTAAAAATCCAAACAACTAAGAAATGCTTAAGTATAAAAAGTACAGACAACAGCATAAGGAATAAATCGATTAGGCCACTTTGACGCCAAGCCCACTTAGAGGCAAAAAATAATAAATTAATTTGAACATTTAGACGGGAAATAAAAATGAATTAATTTGACCATTTAGACGCGAAAATAAAAATAAATTAATTGACCATTTAGACGCAAGCCTACTTGAAAAATAAGGCAACTTAATTTGGCCACTTAGACGCAAAGCCGATTTAAACGAAAAATACAGTTTTTAGCTTTGTATTTTGATAGACTGGATGAGTTTAATTAATTTTTTTAAGAACATTCAGTTTATTTATACAATAAGTATTGACTTAAGCTTATTTTTAAAATCTAATGGTGATTTACTTAAAATAGTATTTTTACCTAGTATATTCCACATCTTAGTTGTTCTATTTATAAATGATCTAGAACTTTTAGAATTTTGTTTTTTTGAAATAATTCTATGAGAGGAATGGCTAGATTTTCTAATAGGATGAGAAAAGAGTGTTTCAAGTCCTAAGTGAGAATAACCATTAACTATTTTGTACATAAGCATTAAATCAAAAATTTTTCGTCTATTCTCAAGTGTTTGAAGGTTGAGATATTCCAGTCTATTCTCATAGGGTAGTTCAGGTAAATTACATTTTTTAAAGATTATTTTAGTAAAAAATTTTTGGCATTTTTCAAGAGAATTAATTTCTGTTTTGTAAGGAGTGTTCCAAGTTTCGGGTGCGTATTCAAGCATAGGCCTAATATAACTCTTATATATCAGTATCCAAGTTGATGTTTTTCTTGACTTTATAATTCTAAATATTGTTTTCATCCTTAGATACGCGTTGCGAATAATTATATTAATGTGTTCTTTAAACCTAAGCTTGTCGTCTATGATTATTCCAAGGTCACGAATAGATTGAACTTCATTTATCGTATTATTAAAAATCTTATATTGATCCCTTGGGTTATTTTTACCCAAATGAAGTACGAATGTCTTATTAACAGATATATCTAAATTCCATTTTTTTGACCATTCTTCGACATTTTTAAGGGTAACTGCTAGTTCTAGTCTTTCATTTTTAGTCTTATAAACTTTATAAATTTTAACGTCATCAGCAAATAGTTTAATTTTGACTCCATTTGGAATAACGTCGGATAAGTCATTTATATAGATTAGAAACATCAATGGGCCAATAATCGATCCTTGGGGAACACCCGTGGTAATTCCATATGGGTTTGATAAAACATCATTAATTTTTACTTGATATGTTCTATCTGATAAAAATTCCCTAATCCACCTATGTAGTTTTCCCCTAATTCCACAAGCATATAATTTGTCAAGAAGGAATTTGTGAGGAACACTATCGAAAGCTTTACAAAAATCAATATAAATACAATCTATATTCTTTTTCTCAAATAAGGCTTCGTACCAATCCTCCAAACTACTTACTAGCTGAAGTGTAGTGGATCTTCTTCGAATAAATCCAAATTGATCCGAACTAAAAAACTTTTTATTATCTAAAAAATTTACTATATTTTTTACAATTATTTTTTCCATGATTCTGCAGATACAGCAAGTAAGTGAAATTGGACGATAGTTTAACGGATTAGATTTTTCGCCTTTTTTGAAAATAGGAATAACTATTGATTTTTTCCAATTGTGTGGTATAATGCCTTCATCCAAAGAAACTCTAAATAATTCAGATAAATAAGGGGCCAAAATAATGCAAATATTTTTTAGCATAACATAATTTATGCCATCTGGGCTTGCGCTGTTTTTTGATGGTAACGCTTTTAGAATTTCATAAACTTCAATACTTGTTATATCTATATCATTTAATGCATCAGTAATTTCTGAAATATCGCTAGCAGTAATATCATTGGGAGAACCATTATAGTTAAAGTTGTAGTTAAAATTTTTATGAAAAATTTCTCCAAAAAGTTGTGCTTTTTCATAATTCTCTACATAGACTTTATCCTCAAATAATATAACTGGTATATCTCTATTGTTCTTATAAACCTTATTGACATATTTATAGACATTAAGTGGATTATTTGAAATAATTTTATTTTGTTGTTTACTAATAAAATTCCTTACTGCTATTTTAATATAGAGAGATATACTGTCATATTTTACTTTATATTCCTTATTAATTTTTTGTAACCTGTATAATCTTTTTTTTTCAGCTATAGAAGCTTTTAAGTGAGCGGGATATTTTATTCTTCGATCTTTTTTGTTTATAATATGTTCAGGGATAAAAATGTCAAAGGAATCTAATATTGAATTAACAATTTTATTATATTTGTCCCCAATTTGAAACCCAGTATAAATAGTATTTTTTAATAATAGGGACAAATATGAATTTAAATTAGTTATTTTATTCTTATTATAAAATCGTTTTTTTATTCTATTCTCATTTTGTCTAATTATTGGACAATTAATATTAAATAATAACGTTTCATGATCAGAAGAAAAGATCCCCCCTTCCACTAAAATGTCTGAAACTAAGTTATGGTTTGTAATCATTATTAAATCTAAATATGAATTATTTCTAGTAGGTTCGGGTGTGACTGATGTTAAAGCATTTCGATTAAAAAAATCAATAAAACATTCCCCAAATTTAGATTTAGCATAAGGTGTGAAATTGAACCAACTTAGATCTTTGAGACCGAAATTATAGTCACCCAGGATTATACAATTTTCAGTACAAAGAGTTTCGATATACTTAAAAAGAGATTTGGTACTAGCGTAGCTAGTGTTAGGTGGACGGTAAAGTAATATTATATTTAATCTCTTAAAATTGTTTATTTGTAGACAAATAATTTCTGTGTTGAATTTGGATATTTTTACTTTTTCATAAAATGTAATATTTTTACTTAATAGTATCGCGCATCCCCCACCTAGTTTGGATTTCCTATTAATATAAACAATATTATAATATTCTGAAAATTTGAACTCAAATAAATTTATGTCCTCATCTTTTAACCATGTTTCAGTAATAAACAGCATTTCTAAACCTAGTGTTCTTAAACTAATTAAAAACTCATCCATTTTATTTCTAATTGATCTTATATTTATTAAACCACTTTTTATTTTATTTTTAGTCAATTTTTATTTTTAGTCAAAAATTTTGTATTAATTTTTCTACTAAAAATTTTTTCCCTTTCAACCTCATTTATTTTCCCATTCTTTAAAATTACACTCTCTCTATGAATTGACAATAAATTAGCTATTTGTTAAATTATTAAAAAATTATTTTTTTAAATACAAAATACTTGCTTTAGTTTTTTTTATTTTATTAAAAAATTTATTAAATTATTTATTTTTATAAAAAGTATGAAAATTTTATTGATTTATTATAAAAAATTTTATTCCTCATAAAAACAATTTTTAATTTTTTGTATCATCTTTAAGGATATAATTTTCATTAGATTTTAAATAAAAAAATAAAATAATTTTCTTTAAAAAATATAACGGCACTCTCGATATAACACAACTTAACATACATCCCACTATTTCTTTCTGTCACTTTTTAATTACACATTTTTGAACGGAAATAATTTTAAGGATTTAAAAATTTGAATATTTATAATTAAACAATGAATAAATAAAATAATTTTTTTAATTTCCCCTCGTTCATTTACGCAAATGTCTGTACATTTTTTGATAATAATTTTTTAAAATTAAATCCCAATTGTGCATATATTCTCTCTTTTTATTCTCTATTAATTGCTGTTTATTAATAATTAATATATCTAAGTGGAATCAATCCGAAAATATACTAGATAATCTTAGAATTGAGAAATTAGAATTGAATAACTTATATTTATTATTGTTGAGCTTGAACTTTTTTTGAAAATCTTTAAGAATTTTTTAATAATGTTTTTAAAAAATCCTTTTGGATAATTAAAACATTTTTTTATTTCTTATTTATTTTATAACATTTATTCCAAAAGGCCTAGTAAATTGTCGTTTAGTTTTACACGGTTATAGAGCTTGGATACCATTTATCTATTACAACACTATTAATCCCCTTTTCCTCTTAACAATAAATCCGGAAATATTTTCCCTTTTCCCCTTTTTTTTAACTTTTTTTTAATTTACCTAAACAATTTAATATTTTTATTTTACTTTTTTACTCATTATTTTTGTCCATATTTTTTGTTTTACCTTCATTTATATTCCCTCGAGGATTTAAATGTCCAAATATAAAAATAATAATATTCATAACTTGGAAAGTTATTGAACTTTTAAAAAAAAAACATTTTTTGAGAATATTTATATATTAAATAAAAATATAATTGAACATTTTAAGCATTTATTTAACATTTCCCATGAAAATACACTTTGATTATTTTTAAAAATTAATTTTAAAAAGTATGTTTTTAGTGCAAAATTTAAATGATTAATTTATCAATTTTTTCCCCTTTCTCCCCTTTATTTTTCCAATTATTTTTTAATTATTTCTCCTTTTCTTCTTCGAAACAATTAAAAATCAAAAATTTAAAATTTCCAACAATTTTTTTATTTTTAATTTTAAATTTTTCTTTTTATTGTTATGCTGATGATTTAACTAGTAACAATACTTTAACAAATCAAACAGTAAGTAGAAAATATTTTTGACAAAAAATATTTAATTTTTTAACCAAAAAGGATGCCGGTAATGGGACAACAATACCTAGCATTCAAACAACAACAATTAATTGGTTTGTTTAAAATAAATTGGGGAGTTTTTGTTAAAAATGCTAGCTTGAGAAACACGACACAAAATAAAACCTAGAGACCTAAAAAAGTCACGACTTTCCAAGGTTCAGATCCTCGAAATTTTAAACGTTCTACATCTATTAATATTTTCTAAGAATTACCTATACTTTAGATGAAATTTATTATTAATTGATAAAAATTTTCTAAAAAGGTGGGGCTCAATGGCAGTAACACAGCCAGATTCGTATATAGCCGATGATTCTACTGTAATAAATACAACAACAGATAGCAGTGGATTGGTAAAGAATTGTTTAAAAATTAAAATAATTATTTTTTATCAGAATGGGTCAGCAAGTCAAGATTCTTCTTCTTCTAATATTTCCAATACTTCTTCTACAGATACTTCAACTAACTCAAATTCAACAACAAAAAATAAAGCAATTTCCTCTAAATACCAAAAATATATTTTTGTAAATTTAATTAGTATTTTATTTTTTGGAATATTTTTATATTTAAATTGAGATGAAATACAGACATGTGATTAAATGTATTTGTATTTAGATAAAAACTTTGATAAAAATTAATATTTTTTATAATTTTAATACAAAAATAAAATAAAGAAAAATCATAAAAAATAATTATTTTTCATGGGAACGAGTTAACTAATTAAAAAAATTAAAAGCAAATTAAAAAATTTGTTAGTTTAAAATTATGAGGATTGTGGCTTCAACAAGCTAATTAAAAAGGACGTTAACTAGAAGGAAAGATGGGTGGGTAAGGGGAGATGGTTTTGTGAGGAGATTCTTCAACTACGAAAATTTAAGGAAGGAAACCCTATTTTATTATTGATAAATATTAGACATTTTATTTGACAAAATAATGTGAATATTAAGTAGTTATTAAAGTACTAAATTAATTAATTAAACAATTTTTAAATTTTAATTTCAATGTTCAGTAACCAAAATACGAACAGAAGGAAAAGGCCTAGGCAATGGTGGAGTTATCTTTAAATTAATATTTTAGTTTTTTAAAAATTTCAAAAAAACAATTTACCGGTTCTTGTGTTGGAAGCAATTTTGCAAAAATTGGAAAGAAACGTTGTGCTGTATAACGAATTGGAGCAATAAGGATTAATGAAAGTATTGGATGTAAGAGTGAAATAAATAAAGGTAAGGTTGTAAAGGGGAATTCGACGGCTAATTGAGTACACTAAAAAATTATTTTCTTTTTTAAAATTATTCAGAATTCTTTGAAAATAAAACGTATTTTTATCCTTACTTTTATGTTATGCCTTAATAATCTAGTTGAAACTGTCCCAAGAAAACTGTGGGGAATATACTATGTAAGTAACCGAAATAATAATTTTATGAATTAAAAACTCGTTCTAATTCCAACTGCTCTGGTATATTTATTAACATATTATAATCATTTTAACAAAAAACCCCTTCAAACTTTTTATCAAAAATTATAATTTACTTTATTGCAAGGACTAGTCAAAACATATTGTTGAAATAAAGCAATTCCAGTTAATAAAGCTACTAACGACCACAAAATTGCCTCTATTAAAAATAAATCTCTACACGAAAAAACCAAAAAATCAAAAATTGAAGAGTGTCGATAACTGACAGACTTTTTTTAGTAAAAAATAATTAAACTTTGTTTATTTAAAGAAAACCTTTTTATTATTTTTAATTGTTTTGAGGGGAATAAAATACCAAACTAAAGATTGTAATAATTGAGATATTAGAATTAATGAAAGCAATCCAAAAGCCAATCCTTTTTGGCGAATAGCCAAAGTAATTGAACACTTAAAGAGGGATTCATTTAAGTTAGAAAAAAATAAATTTAGAAATTAATAAAAGGATAAGGGGATTTCTTTTCATAAAAAATGTTACGTTAAATTAACAAAATTTCAAAATAAATTTTAAAAGCCAGTGGACTTTTAGAATTTTTAATACTAGATAATTTGTAGAAGACAAAAATTAAAATTAAAAAAAAATTTGGAACAAATATAACAGTAAAGAAAAGTCGACTTTCGTTATAATGCCATTCGAAGGGATTGAGACTGTAATTTTTGTGGTTTTAAACAGATATCTGGTCTCTGTTAAACCGAAAAGATAAATCCAAATAATTTTTCTGACTCAGATTTTATATTACTTTTTTATCTACTCACATTAGCCATTCTTTTTTGTTTTAAAGAAATTTCATCCCATCTATCAAAAGAAGTAAAAAACAAAGTTATTCCACAACAAAAAACAATTAAAATAATTTGTTTTGTTGAACATAGCCAATAAGGAAAAGGAAAATATTTTTGTTGTTTTTTAATTATTTTCCATTTTTTAAATTCTGTTTCGGAAATATTTGAATGACGAAAATCTTCTATTATATTATTATTGTTGTTATTTTGAATTATTAATTTTTTGACTCTTGAAAAGATTTTAATTAAATTTTAAAATTTATTTAGACGGTTGGGGAAATTTTTCCTCTAAAGCTTCAATACCTAAAAAAATTCTATCATGTAGATACTTTATACCCCTATAACTTTTCGAAATTGGGGTCAGGGCCAAGAAAGCAAAAAACTGGCAATAGGTTATCGACCCTGCTCTACACGATGGTGCAAAAAAAAATTAGGAAATATTCACATACAGTTTGGGATGTTCCCTTGTTATATTTAATTTTCTTTAATATTTCCAAAGGAGCGGAACAATCAGAGTTATCAAAAATCGTAATTCTGATGCACCTCTAAATAGTCCGGAGAATTCCCTTATATCTCTTGTAACTTTCCCCGCAATTTATATATTTCTTTATCAAAATTAAACAAAAAACCTTCTAGATTGTCTACTACTATTTTGTATAATAATTTTTCTTTGATTACTAAAATTTATAATTTTTTCTTCTTCTTTATTTTTTCTAAACCATCTTTTAAAGGCCATTTGTAAAGCAAAAATTAAAGGTAAAATCATTGAGTAAATATAAATAAAAACTAAAGGAAATTCTTGTAATTTACAAGTTGAAGAAGTAAATGTTGGAATACAATGACCTTTTGGATTGACAAAAGAAAAGTATAACCAAAAACATTTTTTAGTTAATAAAATAGAAGCTAAGAGAGCATAATTGAGAGAAATTGATGACTAGAAAATTGAAAGAAAATAATTTTTTTGAAAAAAAATCAAACTAAAAATCGTCTTGTCCGAAAAGGTATAGGCCTGGAATTAAGTGAAGATGGAATTAATAATGAATTTAAAATAATTGCTAAAATTGCTAAAACAATATCCAAAACTGTCACAAACCTATTTTTAAAAATTATTTTTAACAAAAGGAATTTTTCTAACCAAATAGAAATTTGTAAAAATTTTAAAGAACAATGACCACCATTAAAATCATTTTGTTTAGTTAATTGTTCATTAAATAAAAATAAATTATTCGGATTTTCTTTATCAAAATTATTTAAAATAAATTGCTCTTCCATTAATTTTTTTTTGTCTAATAAAAATTATAAAATTATTTTTCAATTATTAAATTTATTTTTTAGTTTTTGGTAAAGTTCGAAATACGAGAAAAATTTTTTTAAAAATAATAAAGGATAAAATATGTAGGGGAAAATGTTTTTTTTTTCGTTAAAAATAAACTAACTTCTCAACAAAAAAGTCAATATAAATAAAGTTTTAGAATTTTGTTTAGATTAAAAGCTTCTAAATAAAAATATTTTTCTAAAAAAAAGTCTTCTTTCCTCACGCAAATTAGAAAAGCATGGAAAGTTAAAAGCAAAGGGCTTTCAAAAAAAAAGATTTTTTGATGATGTAAAAATAAATCCTTTTTAAGAGAAAAGTAAAATATCTCTTGAATATTAAAAAAATTAATACAAAAGTAAAACTAAAAAAAATCGGGAGTAATAAATAAAAAAGATTGTCTAAACCAGGGCCTAAGTACACTTTACCGGGGGATTTTAGATTTGAACAATTTATATGTCAATCAAAAGAGCTCGTTTTGGAAAAAAAATTTTTTTTTATTTTCTGAACAAATATAAAAATATAATAAATTATTTACCTAATTTACAGTCAAACAATAAATATTTAACAACTTTTGTCTATTAAAATTTAAGAAATTTAAATTTTTTCACATTTTCTTTAAATGCTTCCTCCTGTTGAGTAAGCAGTTTATCCCACTCTTCCAAAACTGAATTTTGATTGTTGAAATCGCACGTCTAAAATTTACAATTGTATAAAATTTATGAAAAAATAATTAAACACCTGTCTAATCTTATCCGGCAAAGGCCAAAGTATAGTCGGCTGAGGTTCTGAAGGTCTATATTTCTGCCAAAATTGAACAACACGAACACGAAGCTAAAAAAATTTTTAGGAATATGGACCCGAAATTCTAAACTAAAAATAAACTTACACTTTCAATTTTGAATTCCATATTTTCTTTTGACTTAAAATAAGTAGCCATTGAAGTAGGATTTGCATTTGAAGGCAACAATAAACGATTATATTCAGTCATTAAAGTCTCTGATTCTTTCAATAAATTTTGCAATTCTTGTTGCTCGTTGTTTTTCTGATCACAAATTGAACAAACATATGGCTCGTTCGTAAGTGATTTTTTCTTCTAAAATTTAAGATTTTTTTAAAAAATTTTTCCAATTTTTTTTACCTCCAAGGCATTAAGTCGTCGAATTTCTTCATTCATCCTGCCCAAAGTATTATTATTATTTATTGCTAAAGATGTAGAAGTCAGCGGAGTTCTTAAATTTTCTTCCATAACACTTAGATTTTGGTCATCCGCTATCGCGATTTTTTGTTGTTGTTTTGGAGTTGAGGTAGTTTGTTGCTGATTCTTTAAATTCTAAAAAGGTTAATTTTATTAATTAAAAAAAAATAATTTTAAATATTTTATTTCTTAATATATTGTCAGAAATTTAATTTTTACAGAAAGGACAGAGAAATAAAAACTGTCTCGACACTTTTTATCAAATTATTTTTACATTAAAAGAGATCACCGCAAAAAGGGCCTTCTTAGAGAATTCTCTTGTCATTTCATGAGCTTTTTCTCGTTCCGCTCGTGTATCAGCCAATTCAGATTGAAGTTGAGTCAATTTAAGTTCATAATCACTAAAAATATATTTGAAAATATTTTTAAAATAATTATTTTTAAACCTCTTCTTTTGCTCCAAATCATTACTTAATTGTTCACATTTTGTTTTAAGTTGTTGAATTTCAGCCTTTAAAGCAGTTCCGGCCTCATTTTCTGAAAGTTTCTTTTCTGCCATATCAAGACGAATTTTAATCATGCTGGCCGATTCTTCTCTACTTTTAAGTGTAGATTGTAATTTTAAAAGTTCATCATCTTTTTTTGAAAGCTTAAAGAAATAAAATTAACAAAAAGTCAAACATTCCAAAATTTAAATAAAATTAAATTCAAATTAAAGAAAGGAAGACTAGCGACAGTCAAAAGTTGAAAATCTGATAGAGTTCTTTACGGACTTTGCCCAGCAAAAAATCATTTTTCTCAATTTTACCAAGAAGATAATTAAATAAAAATTCTTTACAAACCTGCCATCTTAAACTATCAGCCTCAACAATATCTTTTTTACGCAACTGAGCACGATTAACAAGTGGAGGAAAAACATCATTATTCAAAAATTGATTAGAATTTTCATTTGGACAAATTTCCATTGAAGAATTCTCTAATGATTCACCAAGGCCTTGTAAAACTGCTTTGACGGATTCCAATAATTCACTAAAATTGAGTTTTTAAAAAATAAAAAAATAATAATTTTTTTACAAAATTTGTGCACAAGCTCTTTTTTGTCCATCAATTTGCCCAACAAATTTTTCAACAGAAGAAAATACAAAATCAAGCATTTGTTGGGACGGTAATGCTTCAGTGTCTACAGTGCCCAATTCAGATGTTGCCATTGAGCAAATTTGATTTATAATACAACCACACTTTTCGAGAGTAGCAACAGCCATACAAATTTGATCATTCAACTTAAATTGAAAAAATGAGAAAAATTCAAAAAGGGAAAGGATTGAATTTGGAAAAACAAAAAAAACTTTAAGCAATTCTATTGTTAAAAAGTAAACAACCTCATTAGGCAATAAAAGCTCATTTTCTTTCGGAATTCTGTTCATTGCCCTCATTGTCATTTTATCACAATCTTCCAATAATTGGTTAACTTGATCAACAAAAGAAATAAATTCAACATTGTCAGTCCCCCCATTTCCATTATTATTAATGGAACTTTTGGTCATTAAGGAAGAGGAAGTCAATGAAGTTGGCGATGATTGAGAGTCGGAAGTAGTAGATGAATCCTTTAAATGTGAGAATTTTATAATAAATTTAAAAGTTTAAAATAAACCGAAAAGAAATATTGAAGACGCTGTCCATTAAATCTAATCCAGATCAAAGCCTTCTTAATTTGAGCAAGAGTGTGTTGCAAGTCTTGTTTGGCACTAAATGGTTCTGTGCTTAGATTGGCAGAAAAAATTCGCTAAAATTTTTTAAATTAATATCAAATAAAATTTGGCAAAAAAACCTCAAAATATTTAACCATTTGTTCAAGCACTTCAATTGAAGTATTTTCGTCAAATTTATTTTGTTTTAATAATTTAAAGTAATCCTCCAATTTTTGTTCTCTTTGGCAAATTTCTGTTTGTTGTACAGCAAGACGAGATAGAGGGTCAGAAAGACGATCATTAAATGAACAATGTTTGAAAACACTAAAAAGTTTAAAAAATATTTGAAAAGAATTGAGATTTTTAAATCACTCCTTAATTTAAGGAATTCATCGGCTTATTGGGGTGCAACATATAAAATACTGATTATCAAAAAAATGATTAGCTTCTTCACCTGTATTACATTTCCGGGCTCCCGGATGTTAGATAATTAAAATTTTGAGAAATCCGAATGTTAACCATACATTTAAATAAAATAAAAACTTACGCAACAAATTTTTGTAAAACAGTATTTAACTTTTGTAATTGATAACCAAAATGCCTAACATGTGCCCATTGTTCCCCTTTATGTGAAATTGTAACATGTTCACGTTTAAGTCCATCAGGTGGTTGTGGATATTTTTGAAACAAAAGTTGGGACAGGCAAAGTGCTTTGGAAGAAAGACGAGGTAGAAGAACACAAAGAATTAAACAATCGTTGTCACCTAAAATAAAGAATCAAGACAAATAGAGCTCTATCAAAAAAAAATTCAACCTCCAGCCTTCATAAACTTGTCCGGAATAAAACTTCGCAAATAAGAAACATTTCTTTTTGCCGATTCCAATTCGATAGAATTCAATTGAGCCTCGACCAACTATTTGAAAAATAATACGAATTATAAAAAATTTTGGAAAACCTCAGAAAAATCCCTTTTAACATTCGCCATTAAAGAAATTTCAGCACCAGCAGCTCTAGCCTTTTCATCATCAAAAGCCCTCATTGTAGACAAATCATCCTCCAAATTTTGAACTCTTTCTTTAAGCTCTGAAGTCTTTTGACGAAATTTGTTGATTGCATGTTCATAGTCTATAGCACGGTCCTCTGATTCCAACAATTGGCGTTTCAACTAAAGTAAAAAGTTATACAATTATAAGTCGGAAAACACCAAATAGAAAGGGTTTAGCAAAGGTTTAGCCTTCGGACACGATTCGAACCTGCGACGTCCTGACAGTGGTTAGGTTATTTTATTATTATCAGTAGTTTTATTCCTAGGCGCTTTCTCTCCCCATATACAGAAGCTCTACCACTGAGCTACCAAACCATCGACTAATGCATTCTCTTTTATACATTTAGATCGATCAACCCCCGCCTAAGCGTTTTAAACGCTCTAGATGAATCATCCCTACAAAATTTAACCAAAAAATTAAACCGTAGCAATTATAAGCATTTGTTCTTCATTTCCTTGGAGTAATTCCTTCTCAGTCTCTTTTTGTGTGTCAATAATTTCATCTTCCATAAGGTGTAATTGCTCCAATTCATTGAAATCAGCTTTTAATTGTCTAAAATTGATTTTAAAAAACTTTCTCAATCAATTCATAACCTATATTGTTCTTCCAAATCAAGATTCTTGCTTGTCAAATCCGCAATGATTGCGTCAGAACTCATTTGAACTTCAATCTAAAAATGGTAAGTAAATTGAAATTTATTCAAAAAAAAAACAAAAAAACATACTCGACTTTCCAATTCACTTATTTGTGTGTTCATCTTCAAATAATAGAAAATTTCCAAAAAAATAAAATTAAAAAAACCGTAGCAATAGTCAAAGCCAATTCCTGGTTCTTAGTTGTCAATTCTTTTTCCGTCTCTTTCTGCATCTCTATTATTTCCTCATCCATTTGATGTAATTGCTCAAGTTCGTGAACATCCAATTTTAATGTTCTTAAGATAAAATTGTTTGAAAAAAAATAAAAGAAAATAAATACTTGATTTGCTCCTCCAAGTCAACATTTTTATTTGTCAAATTATTTATAATAGCTTCAAAGTTAAGCTGTTCTGTCATTTTTAGGTCTATAATTGAAAGATTAACTAGTTTTTATTAAAATGAACAAATTTAAAAAATATTGGAACCTATAAGGTTTGGGTATGCTTTTTTAGCAACGCCCTTTTTCCTTTTCAATCATCAACCAACCTTAATATGGACAGCCTTTCTTCCTCAAGTTCTTCCCCCCTTTCCTCCTCAATTTCACTCAATTTTCCCTATAAGAAAAAAAGGATTGATTGAAAAAAGGAAAAAATGGATTGACAAAGAAAAGGATTGATTTTTCTTTCAAATGTCACCAAAATATGCAGAAATTTACATTTGAATTAATATTATGATTTTACTATAAATGGCAATAAGGCTGGTTCTTATTGTTAAAACTATGGTCGGTATCCTTTTCGTACTTAGAATCAAAACCATATAATAATTGAAAAAAGCATACCCAACCTCCAAATATAAAAACACAAACGATTAAAAAAAAATAAAAAATAAAGTCAACCTAACACAAAATAAAAAAGTAAAAAAAATACGGGTACAGCCCAAAACGGCGCGCGGCCATAACGGCGCAAATCCATAACTTGCATCAAAATTTCCCAATCTTACCAGATTTAGCATCAAACGATTCCTCTCATCGAGATAAAGAGATTGGTAACAAAATTGATAAGGGCCGGAATTTTTCTAGCAAGTTATGGCCTTGCGCCGTTATGACCGCGCGCCGTTTTGGGCGTGTCCCAAAAAATAGTGTGGCTAAAATAGAAGAGACGACAGACAATCGGACGTTTCACTTTTAGCGTCAGTTTGGGTGCCATAAATAATTTGAACTTTGATATGGTAAATAAATAATCTTTTGATTCTCAGCTTTTTTAAATTTAATTTTAATATACTTATTAATTTTAATATCGAAAAATATTTTTGGTAATCTGAAAAGGAAGTGGTGGCGATAAAAATATTACATAAATAACTATTTCCTAAATTAACCAGGCCTGACAATTTTTTTTTCAAAGTTTAACTCATTTTAATCATTTTTATTCATTAATTATTTAACTACTTTATATTTATTTTCAACAATTATCATATTATTATTGTTTAAAGCTTTCTTTTCCCAAGAATTTGTTAACATTTTTATTTGATCAACTGCTTCATTTTCCTTTTTCAAATAAATTGTCATATTTGTAGAACTGTCAGATATTCTATTTTTTATAAAGATTTTCTTTAGAAGCTGTGTAATATCACGACGGATGAATGGATGGAAACTAAAAAAATAAATAAAATATTTTGAGAATAAAAGGGGGGGGGGCAGATTATTTTACAAGAATTAAGTATTTTCTTCGAATAATTACCCCTTGAATAATAATTAGGTATTTCAATCTATTACTGAAGCGTGTACATAATTATTATTCGGGGGAGGACGGTAGAAAAATAAGATATTTTATAAGACAAAGATCAGCGATAATTTATAATTTAGATTATTTATTAAATTAATTAATTTACATAATAACACAAGATTCCGCTAGCATTGAAAAAATAGCGTCACACAAATTATTTGCTTGAATCTAAAAATTAAATAAAAGATTCTTAATTTTTTTAAATAAACTTACAGCTAAAGCTAAATAAAATTTGTCTGGTATCATTTCAAAAACTACCCAAGTTTGTGCTTGGGCTAATGCTACTGTAAACAATAATTGGCATATTAAGGTTGGGATTAATTGTGAACCAGTTCTGACATTTTCCAAATGCTTTAAATTAATTTACTAATTCAAGACTATTAATGTTAATAGGGGAGATTTAAAGACTTGTTCAACTTTCTGATTAGCTCCTTTATACTTATAAACAACGGCTTGATATTATATATACTATATTCGTTTGGATCCCGGCATATCAACAGTTCTCAGATAAGGAAAATTCCGAACATCCTAGGCTTCCCATTAATCGAGAGAATATACACCTATATCTCAGCGACAGTAAAACATTTACTATTCATAAACGATACATAAGGTGTCAATAATCCCATAAATTAAAAAAATATTTGATCATGGTGATTTCCTTTCCATTTTTATTAATTAGGCAGCGAGGAAAGCTATCCTGGATCTTGTTCAGTGAACAGAGGCTAAATCCTAGCTTTACTAAAAATTTGTAAAACTTGCCTGGTATCTCTCAGTAAGTTTATAATTTCCAAATTTTTCTTTTTCCTTTGCAGCAATTAACTTCTTTTTATTATATCGTAATAAAAGAATAAATAACTAAAAAAACATTCAAAAAATATATCAAAATTATCTACCAAAAATTCAATAAACGATACAATCAAAATTATATATGAGCTTGTTGCTGTAACTATTGTGGCACGTGCTCCATTATTTCGAGTTGTTAATTGCTGAGAAATTGCATTGCATAATACAACAAATATCTAAAAAATGATTTAAAATCTTTCGCCTAAAAAAGATTTTCTGGAAAAATTAACTTGTATTACAGTAATTATGGATTTTGTGATAAAGATGGGGAGGGAGTTTGATTTGTGAGATAATTTTAGAAGCTTAATTTTCCATTAGAAGTATTAGATAATAAATACATTTTAATCCAAGGACCTTTGCCTACAAGAGATATAATTTAAAATCCAAAAATTAGAAAAAATTTTTTACTCACCGCAATAGAAAACCAACAAATACTAAAAACTTTACTTTTTGATTTTTCATATTTTCTTGCAAATACAGTTGCCATAGTTCTCTCCAGTAAAATTGTATGACTCAGAAATGTTCGAAAACAAACATTTGAATAAAAAAGAAAAACAGTTATCGGATTCTCAGATTCGTGCCAAAGAATAAAAGGGCCAAATAAACGAATAGGGATTGCAATAAATAATTTAATGATAAAACGCATTAAATAGGCGCCACTTTGACAGAGAAGAATAAATTTTAAATTCCAATGAATTAACTTAAAAAATGTGAAAAAAATATTTAAAGTTACAAATAACTCTTCTCATAACCAGAGGTGGGTCGGAACAGTCAGAGGTGTCGGAAATCGGAAGAGCTGGAAATTGGAATTGGCTCAGAAGTCGGAACTCAGAAATCGGAAATCGGTTGCTCATAACTTCTGCTCCTAACCCTTAATCGGTACATTACATTTCGGTTATTAACTACAAGGATTAAATTATATACAAAACAAAATCAACAACAGTTAACAATCAACTATCGAATATTCTCTTTGGAAGGGATTAGAATGGAAGTAAACTGATCTTGGAATTATTAAGAAATATTTCAACAAATTTTAATTGTTGGAATTTTATAAAATAAGAACTTTAGGAAAAATAAAAATTTTCCTTACCGAAGTTCTACTAATTGCGTAAAAATTTAACGAAGAAATAGGCAATCCAATTAAATCTATAAATAATTCAAAAAGAACAATAGTGTAAGCTATTGTTAGTCCAAGTTGGTCACCTTGTGAATTATTCATTTTATCTTAAAAATTAATTTAAATATTTATTTTTAGCTTAATACGAGAAATTAAGAAAGTAATTTTTTGCAAAAAAAACTTTAATAAAATAATCTAATAAATAATTATTTTATGGGTGTGGCTGTGTTTTAGTGTAAAACTTAATTATCGAAATTCTATTTAAATTCTAATTTAAATTAAATTTTGTAACAAAAATATTAACTAACAAATAAATTTAATAAATAATTTTTAATCGTGTTAGAAATTAAAATTGAAAATTGAAAATTGAAAATTAAAATAATATAAAAATCTTCTAAAAAATAATTTATACCAAATAATTGTTACTTTATTTTCTTGTTTTTTATTTTTAACCAAATCTAATTTATTTTCTATTTTTATATCTTACAATTAATTATTATGTAATTGCTAGAAATTAATAAAATAAAAAATAAATTTATTTTAAAATTAATTTTCAATTTATGGGCAAATTGATATAAATTACATAATTTTTGAGTTTTTAATTCTAAAATAGAAAATAATATTTTAATAATATGTTTTAATTTATATAAAAATTTTTTTATTTTAAATTTTGTTTTGCAACTTGGAATTGTAAATTGTTAATTAAAAAATTATTGGAAATTTTGGAAAAAAATTAGAAATTCTCAAAAAGTTTATTTATTTCAAAAATCAACGCAAGTGTATTTGCATAATGCATAATTAACAGTTCCAAATTAATTTTAAAAAATTATTGAACAAACGAGGAAAATGGAAAATAAAAAATAAATTAGATAAAATTATTTTAAAAAATCCCCAAAATCCCCTCCATTTAAATTCAATTTGTTGTGTTTCATATAAAATCTTCAATATCCCTTTTTTATTCCCTCAACATCAGAGCATATCGGAGAATAACTTTGACAGGGACAGAAAATATATTTTTGTAATAAAAAAAGATGAAAAGATTAATTTGCCGGAAAATTATATATATTTTTTGTTGGAAGAAAAATAAAGGTCCTTCCCTTCCCTTCCTTTCCTCCTTTATAGTGGTGGTTAACATCATGAACTAGTCTTTGAGGGAAAGGATAAAAAACATTTTTTCCTCGACTTCGATAAAAAATCTGTGTGTAACCGCCATTGATTCTTCTTGTTCTTCTTCTTCTTATACCTTGGTCATCTCCATTTACTTTTTATTTTTTTATACCGCAAGTGTTTCTAATAAAATAAAAACTTTAAATGATTAAATTTAAATAAAATTTCAACCAAAATTCACATAAAAAGCTTAACATTCCCTAAAATCGAAAACAATGTCCAGTCCGTCGGATAAGTAAAAACCACAAAGAATTCAACAGAAATTTAGGGTGAGGTTTTGGTAAAACGAAGTTCTGTCCGGCTGAGTTTTGTCGGTCGAAGTCGTGTCCGTTCGAAGAACTGTCCTGACACGGAAATTTAAGTAAACTAAAAAATTATTTTTTAGTAAAAATAACTGCCCTCTCTTAACACAATTTTCTAATATTTTTGATAGCTGAATCAGCTTTGTTTTTATAAATAAATATTTTAGTTTCCCTATTATTTCAGTTTAGATTACAAAAATGTGTTTATTATGTTGGAGGACTTGCAGAGTAAGAGGAACATCAATCTTCTCCCCTTTCCCCCTCATCACAGCATGAACTCTTCCTTCTATTTTCTTTTTATTCTTCATTTATTTTATCGGACAAGGCTATTTTGGTCGCTCAACTTAAGTCTTTAATTTTGTTTTAGAAACTGAGATTGAATTTATAAAAAATAATTATTGAAATTTTAATGGATTTTTAAAGCCTCTGTTTATTACCTCAATTTTAACAAAAATAATTAATTTGACTTTAATAACCCCCCATATTTTCATCAGCCTTTCATTTATCTTCTCAAAATCTTCTTCTTCCTCCTCTTCCTCCTCCATCTATTTTCTGCCCTTGGCCCTTCTTAGTGTTGTAATAGTAGTCATTATTTCTATTCAGCTGTCAATAAAATCTAAAATACAAACCACTTCTATATTTATTTTAAATTTGTCATTCTTCCAATTAATTTTAAACTTTTCATTTTCTAAATAATTTTCTAGATCAACAATCAAAAATCTTTTAAAATTTAAATATTATTCAATTCCCCTATTTATTTTGTCCTCTATTTTATTCTTTTATTTCTGCTTGGGGCGACACATGTGAAAAAAATAAAAAATTTCCTTAAAATAATTGTCCAACACCCTACGGGCAAAGAGAAAATCTCAAAGCTATTAAATGCTAGAAGCAAAAAACAAAACAAAAATAAATGCGCGTTTAAATGTTTGTGGACAGATGTTTTTAAAAAATATCTTTTTTTTTCTTTTAATTTATTTTAAAAAATGATACTTATTATTTCTCTTAAAGGATTATCTTAAATAATTTTTAACCTTTTCTTAAAATAATGTTTTTAAATAAAATACCAAAAAAATATTTTAAATAATTTTATTTAATATTTCTTTTTTCTTTCACCAATTAATCAATCTCTTTTTTAGGCCTTTTGTTCTTTTCTAAAATATACATAAAGTCATCTATCATTTTAAGAAAAAAAGAATTTTAAAAATATATTTAAATATTATTCATTGTTTTATTTATATATTTTTTGTTGTTTATTAATTTATCATTTTTGCGCATTTAAAGAAGAAGAAAAAGAAAAAAATATTTCCTTATTTCTTATTAAATTCCCAAATGAATTTTTGGGTGTGACTTTAAAATTTATTATTTTTAAATTATTTTTTAATTTTTAGAAATTTAATCTATTTTCTTTTTATTTAAAAATAAAGTTTTTTTTATTTTTTTGTTGTTTAAAATAATTCTTTTTTGAAATATGTATATTATTTATCTACTATTCCAACACAATTTTAATTTACTTTTTCGACCATAATTTAAAAAATTTTTAAATATAAAATTAAAATAATGCGAGGCATAAAAGTTTTTTTTTTGTAAAGAATTTTTCCTTTTCTTCCACTTTTCTTCCAAATTTTTTTAAAAATAAATTCTAATTTATGTATATAATTTTTTATTACATTCAAGAAGGGTTTTCTTTCCATTAAGGATAATTTAAACATAAAGATCACTCATCTTCGCGCAATCCCTGTCCTTCCTCACTTATTTTTTGTACTTTTAATTTCCTCACTGACCTCATTTTTTTATAAAATTCATCTTCTTCTTCATTCCTTTTTAGTTCAATTTATATATTAATCTACTCTCAAAAAATCCCTTTCTCGACAGAATGTCAATGTCATCCTTTTTCCATTTCTTAAAATAATATTTTTTGATCCCGACCCTTTTAGAGTCAAAAATTTGTTGAGAAGTTGTTTATCCTTCCCTAAATATTCAAACTCTAATTTCTAATTATATTTTTTGTGTGTGCACTTACCCAAATAAATTTAAGTAGTAATTTTTTGTTCGAGGCTATAGAGGGGAATGGAAGTGTGTGATTGGAAAATTTAGATAAATAAATATTTATGTATTCATTACTAAATTAAGTTTGGTATTTTTATATTTTACGAAAATATTTTCTCTTTACTATTTTATATTCTTGTAAATTTTATGAAAATATTTTTTAAAGAAATTATTAATTCAATCGAAAATAAGTACTAATTTTTAAAAATAATTTTAAAACCAATAAGTTTTTTTAGATTTCATAACCAAATTATCAAATAATTTTAAATTGTATGTATTTATTACCCCTTTATTTACCTTTCTTTTCCCTTCTAAAATATATTTAAAAACAACATTATATTTTTAAATCCCTTTCTTGTGTACATTTCCCACATTTTAACTTTATTTTTTAGCCAATTTACACTAAAAAACACTTTTCTTTTCCTTTTATTTCCCCGTGTCTCGCTTTTATATTTTTGGACTTAAAATGACCATTAAAAGTATTTTCAAGCCTTTTCTTATTTTTTTATTTTAATCCTTTACTTTTAAATAAAAAATATATAGTATAATGGTTAAATTTATAAAATAATTATAATAGTATCACTTCAATAGATATTATATTTATTTAGTTTGAAGACTACTGATAAAAAAATAATTAAATATGTATTTATTCTAAAATACACTATTATCTCAATAATAACATTGCCTGAATCTTCCCTTTCTTCAACAATTTTCTTAAACTTTTTTTTTGAATCTTAGGTCGTATATATTAGGTGGGGACATAATTAGTGGCCGTTTTTTTAGATTAAATTTTTAGTGGTGTTGTTTTACAAATATTCTTTTTTATTTTTAATAAACATATAGATCTGAATCTCCTCTTTATTTTAATACCAGGTTTAGCCATATACGGGTTATATTCGTAAAGTTATGATTTTTTGAACTTCACTACCTCGTAGTGAAATTCACAAGCATTTACACCAAAAATTTTAAATTACCGAAAATGCAACCAAGAATCAAAAAATCATAATGACCTAGTCAATGGGATCGTTGTCTATGCTGGACAGCAAAAAATAGGGTTCAGGCTTTAAAATGGAGACCGTATGACTCTCAGAAGCAAACATGATCGAGGGAGACGGGTGTCATTAAGAAAACGGTCCTGCTCGGCCGGTTTAGAAGGAATCCGCTTATTTCTACTGCTGAATTATAGAGGGATATCTGCTCTATAAGTATGTCGACGCGTGACTCATAAAAAGCGGGATGCGCTTAAGGAAGGCAAATCAAATGCCGCGTGTACTCTCTTTTGCACAGATGGGAAAACGACACGACACTCCCCCAAAAAGTTGTTTCTTATAACTTAGCGTAAAATCATCCGATCAGGATGATCTAAACGGTTTTTTATATAACTTTCAGGGCTTATTCTAAATCCGAAGTATAAAGTCTGTAAATTGTGTCGAACCCGGAATTCGAATTTCGACCTTTTTGAAAAATTTAGACTTTTGAGATTAAAAATTCGAATTTGTGCCCTCCTGATAGAGCTTTTGAAGAGCTTTCGAATGACATATTACACTTAATATTATCAACTCATATACTCGAGAAAATTTTATTTTT